TCGACCACAACCAACGGGAACCTGTACTTTGGTTACCACACCATGAGTACCGAGAACCCAGCTTTCCCCTCCAGCACCGATTCCACCCTGGTGAAGTGCAGTGGCAGCAGACACCCTAACTGCTCGTCCCAGCCGGATATCCACTCTGAGCAGATGCGGACTTTGCTGCTGGAGCAGGTGCCAGAAATTTCCCAGATCCTGGAGGAGGTGCAGTACATAGCCAGGCGCTTTCGGGAGCATGATGAGGGCGAGGCCATCTGCAGCGAGTGGAAGTTTGCAGCGGCGGTGGTGGACAGGTTATGCCTGGTGGCCTTCTCGCTCTTCTCCATCATCTGCACTTTCACCATTCTCATGTCGGCTCCCAACTTCATTGAAGCAGTTTCCAAAGATTTCACATAATCTTCCACGTACTCCGCCATGACACCGTCCCCCAGTGTCTGAGAGCCAACGCTAATCATCGACTAAAACTCTACCAAACCCCTCTTTTTGTCTCCAGTGTTAAGTAGCACAATATCTATATACTTTAGGTGTTGTTTTTCCTCTTTCTTCACATATTTGTCAAAGTACCTGCAAGAATATAGGTGAGGTTGTTTATTTATTAAATTATCGGTGACTGAATGACGACAATGAACAGACAACACGCAGTAGCTCATAATGTGGAAAGTCGTGTTAGCGTGCTTTGCAATTGTATCCCTGCTGCGCCGCATAATTTACCTCCCACTACTTGAGCTCACGTCTTGTGTGTCACATTGTTCTCGCTCCTTTCTAGCACTTGTTATTTAATATTTCACTTCCCCCACTGGAATTTTCACTTTTGTGTCTTACTTACATTTTTATCAAATCCTTTGCTTTTTGCATTGAATCGGCGTACCACCAAATGAGCACTTTTTTCTGTAAATAGAAAAAACAATATTTATTTTCTAATAAACCTCTCGGGTTAACATGTATATTAATACATTACTGTTAACTTTTTTTTTTGCATTTGCCTTTTATGTCAAAAGCTGTTTTTACAACATTGTATAATGAGTTCTTATTTCCGCCGTATATTAATACATTACTGTTAACTTTTGTTTTTGCATTTGCCTTGTATCATGAGTTCTTATTTCTGCAACTTACCGTTTCCAAATGAGGTGAAATAATCAAAAGATAATTACCATAGTCAAACAAATGATCAACATTACAGTAAGTACTTCTGCAGTGAAACATGATTAATGAGTGCTGGTTCTTGCTCTTGCCTTACAGCAACAGAAGTCAGTTTGGAGTTCTGTTTGGAGATGGTTTCACTTCCTGTTTTTCCCCTAGTTTTTATGGATACTTTACTGACCTACAAAGTACAAATGCATACAGGGTTAGACAATTTGTTAAGTCGTGGCGTGTGTATCTCTTTAAATGATAAACTGGGGAGATTTCCATGGTGCAGCGCCACCCTAATCTGAGATATATAACAAAAAATATTGGCATTTATCATTTAGCTTTCAAGAATAACAATAATACATTTCAGAAAGAGTTCCCAATCAACTTTTCTTATCCCTTTAAACCAGGGTAACCAAACATCTGGCCTATAAAACCCGATAATCTTACCTGTGACTTAATGTCAACAATACATTTGAGGCAATGAGGCAATTTTTTCTAATATTCAAATGTTATTTTTTCTAATTATTACAAGGCTTTAGTGGGACATTAATAGTAAAAAAAAAAATAAAATATTGAACATTGACTGAATCCCTGACAAAGCATATTTCACTTCATCAGTATCTCTACTTTGATGATGTGGACATGGGTTATCTCAGAGCCGGCTACTGGCAAACGGCACAAAGGCTGACACCTAGGGTGCCATATGATGGATTCTTTAACCATTCAGGGGAAAAAAAAGAAAGAAACATAACAACAAATGCTAGTAACAGAGAACCCAAAACAACTGTAGCCAACTGGATTATCTGTCATTTATACACTGCAATCTGAATATAATGTATGATGGAAAAGGAAGATTGAAGCAAAGAATGATTAAAAGACAATATTTACTCTCGTCCCAGTCGAAAAAGTAATCTTTCCTAGTGCTCATAAAGTGGGTTTTAGATTTGAGGTTTTGACTCAGCATCTTTGATAATCTGCGGCTATACAGCATGCAACAAGGATTAACTGCCCTTATGTAACAGATGTGTTAAAACCTTATCTCTTTTCACTGCCCAAGTGTTTCTCCAGTGTTCAGCAGTAAAAACGGAAGTCAACATATTTTCACTCTGACTGTAACGGGCGTCGTTGAAGTGTTGAAGCTGCAGAATTAGTCACCGAAGCTGAATAATGCTGTTGTTACGGTTAACCAATGGGCCAAGCGAATATAAAGTGCTACCACCTGATCACTACCTTTCAAGCCACTCGTTTTGTATAATGTGCAGCATTTTTAACTGTATCTCCACTGTGAAAAGCCACAAAGACAGACAGCAAATACAACATTAGGATGCACATTTTCCGCAGGACACTTACAAATACAATTTTACACTTCGTGTTAGACGGTGTAGAGCGTGTGTTTTGAAGGGGTAATTTCGGTGCAGAGCCATTAGCTAATGAGAGCTGTGACACGTGTTTCTGTTTTTCTTTTGGATAAAGCATAGCAGGGATCTGCTGGCTGAGACTGACAATTGATTCTCAATGTTTTCGAATTGTTTTCTTTTTTTAAATTGTGCCGCATAAATGACAGATAAATTGAAGCTGAACTGAGACCTGATAAAAGGCAATTTGGGTGTAGATAAATGTGAAATTGCATTTATTCACATTGATGTTGTTTTACATAAGACAATTTTTTTTTTGTTTTTTCTCTGTGTTCTGTTCTTCTTTCTGCAGATATTTCAACTCCTCACACTAGTGTACGTGCATTCTCACTGAATACTGTGTGACTTTTGTGAAAAAATAATAAATGACTAATGTGCAGTTACTCACCAAATTATCACTATTTACAGGTTTGCATGATATTGTGTGTCAAACGCCA